TTTTTTTCCCCATTGGCGTGTAAGTCCTCCGTCACAATTTTGGCTGAGGTTACAAGGGGGGGTAATTTACCCGGGGTTGTGTGTTGATGCACTTTTCCGGGGCGACGGCGACTCCCCCGGGGGATGGGCGGGGCGTGTATGAGCCTACTCTCGACATGTGCGGGGTGTACAAAAATACGTTCCTATGTATGCATGTATAATGTATATATATATATTTTTTTTTTTTTTTTTTTTAATTGCTTTTTTTTTTTTTTTTTTCCATCACTGAGTAATTCACGAAGAGAGCCGCTGCGAGAGATTGCCAATCGAGCACACGCACAAGAAGAGCCACCGTCGCATTTTTCCTTCGCAAGTTGGAAGGCAAAAGGTTAAAGAAGTGAAAACAAGTGGGCATATACAACATGCCCCTCGTATGCTCATATGTCCCTTTGCCACTTAAAAAAACTGAAAAGCAGCGCGTTCAGAATTAACCAGCCCGCGCATTAGCCGCTTAGGCGCGTCGTTCACACCCCCCCTCTGCTCATCCCTGCTCCGCTTCCCCCTTTTTTTTTCATTTCAGAGGAAAGATAAAAAGAGAGCCCCTCTTGCTAGATCGGTCGTTGGTGTCCCCCATTTCGTGAGCACATCGTAGTGCCTCAAGTGTGGTGATCATCTCCCCCCGGGTTGTACGAAGCTTATTGTAGGGACGAAGTACTCGTTGAAAACGCCTCCACTCTAAGCGAAGAGCCCGACCGACCCCATGGCAGGCCTCAGCGCAGGCTACGACCTATCCGTGTCGACCTTCTCCCCCGACGGGAGGCTCTACCAAGTGGAGTACATATACAAGGCCATCAACAATAACAACACGGCCCTGAGTCTGGAGTGTCGGGATGGCCTCATCACCTGTTGCGTAAATTCAAATTTACTTAAAAACAAAATGATAAAGCAGAACAGCTACAATCGAATATATCACATCAACAACAACGTTATAATGACTTATGCAGGACTGGATGGAGACGCGAGAAATATAATTGATCGAGCCAAGTATGAAGCGAATAGTTACTTTATGAATTTCCACACGAATATACCTCTGCACATTTTGGCCAACCGAGTTTCGCTTTATATTCACTCGTTCACTTTGTACTGGCACTTGAGGCCCTTTGCGTCTTCCATCATTCTCGCTTCGTTCAACGAGAAGGAGAAAGGTAACACACGCGCGGAGCGGCCACACAGATTGAGCGAAGCGGAGTGGAGCGGCCACGCAGACCGCGTGCAGACCGAGCGAAACGCCCGTCCGGTTCACTTCCCTTCCCGTTCGCTTTTCCCTTCCCCCCCTCGTAGGAGAAATTTACTGCGTGGAACCCAACGGAGCCTGTTACAAGTACAGCGGAGTGGTCATCGGCAAGAATAAAGAAATGTTCAAAACCGAAATAGAAAAAAAAAATTACAAGGAGGTCGATGTGAAGGAAGCCCTCGTGGACATATATAAAATTATTTTAACAAGTGATGACCATATGAATAAAAATAATTTGCCTCACCTGGTGAACTTTTCGTGGATATGCAAAGAGTCGTCTTATGAATACCAGAGCGTTGATGCGGAAACGCTGAATGATGCCATGCGCGTGGCCGTGGAGTCGATGGAGCAGGCGAATTAGGCGGGGGTTGTAGCGGCTTCTCCCCCACACACAGACACGCGTCCGTACACGCTCCCTTACTCGGGATGCGCTGCTAATGGGGGCGTCGCATTGGTGATCAGCTCTGCCCTTCATTGTGTGCATGTCAACGAGGACCCACCTTTGCCCTTTTTAAAGTAGCCACAACGATATGCACACATGGACTCGGCTTTGTATAATACATATATTTTTTTTTATTTACCCTTATACACACATGTTGTACCCCCCCTTGTAGAGGGGCAATATATTTTTTTTTTTTTTAACCAACCCAACGGGGGAGCTTGTAATTCCTTCTCCCCATGGAAGTCCTAAATAACGTGACACACATACACACAGACAAATAATATTTGAACAGAACTTGGGCACCCACATTGGCCCCTGGGTTATCCCTCACAAAGTAGTCTCCTTAATTATGTGAGGAAGCCAAACAAATGGTTACGAAGGAAAGCAATGTGAAGAGGTGAAGTGACACACACAAAAAAAAACATCGTGTTCACACAATTCTAACGTAACACTGTGCACGGAAGAGAGAGAGGGGTTAACAGAAATCCATTTCATCGCGCCTGTGTGGTACTGCAAAAGGTGTCCACGTATTGTACATGTGTTGTACAGGTGAATGTAGGCGTGTAAATTGCCGACGGAACTGCGCGGCTTTTCCTTTTCCCCGGGGAAAATATGTTTGGCCGATATGTGACCGTCGTTTGTTCGCCCCTTGTTCGTTTTGTTACGAAAAAAACGAAAAAAAAAAAAACGAAACGAAATGACACTCGGCCAGTCAAAATGTAACCTTTGTGTACGTTCCTTTTAACTCAATTGTTGCCCATCTTTTAAAAAAAAAAAAAAAATAGCTCTTCCCCGCCTGTTTTTTATTACCCCCTTTTTCTTTGGCAATATTTTGAGCACCGTCGTCACGCAACCCTACGCTGAATGTTACTTCGCTTTGTCGCCGACGGGGATGCAAAATGTGGCGAATGCCAAGTGGGTGATAAGAAAAACGGGGCAAGGGGCGGCGAACAGGGCAGCGGAAAGGGACCGCAAAAAGGAAGGGCTAAATATATAGGGGCTGCAACAAAAGGACCGCGCAAAAAGGCGCAAGCAGAAAATTATTGCCAGTGCAGGCCAAAAAAAAAAAAAAAAAAGAAAAACCCGCCGACCTCCCACTCAAACTCCGCATCGCATGGATGCGCCAATAGTTTCTCTCTCAAGTGTTAAAAGTGTGGAGATTCCCCTTTTTTTTTTTTTTTTTTTTTTTTTTTTTTATCAAACTTTACGCGTCAGTTGTAGTGATTTTTGGCTACGGACGCAACTGATAAAAAAAACTCCTCTTAGGGTGAAGAAAAAAAAAAAAAAATTATGACTTGTGCAGATTTTTTTTTTTTTTTCCTAGCTGTGTGAAGAGAATAGCCCGGAGGAAGGAACACGTTCGATGCGTCGCGATTCGTTAAGATCAGTGGAGATAAGTTGAGATGCGTTGAGATAATTTGCGATGCGTGGCGCTTTTCACCAGTAGGTGGCTTCACTTGGCGGCGCGCCGACGGGGAGTCCACGCTGCGCTCGGCTCCTGGTTGTTGTGGAACAGAATCATAACGACGACCCCCTTGTGTAGCGGAGCAAGGGAGAGAGGGGGAGGAGGGGGGAGTTCTCGCCACCCCGATGAGAAAAGTGGAAGCGGCCTAACCACCAACAGCCGCGCGAGCCTCCCCACCGCTGCAACGGCTCGTCCCAAGGGCAGTCTGACTAAACCCTGCTGGTGGCCCCACCGGCGTGTAGCTTGTCTCTGCATCCGACACCATGAACATCATCGACGAGTACGACCTGGACATGTACAAGAACCTTGTCATGTCTAACAACTGCAAGCAGGAAGACATCTTGTGTATTTTTAGTATGTCTAGTTTCCTTAACACACTATGCTTTATTATATTTTTTATAATTTTCCTGTGGGGCCTTTCCATCATTTCGAGGTACTACACCTCGTACAATGTTATGAAGTACCTCAAGGACAGGAAGGTAAGCCGTCCGCACGCGCGCCTCGTACTGCTACGTACTGCTACGCGCGCTACTGACGCGACGCACGCTACTCACCGCTACCTACCGCTTCCCCATGTAGGCCATTTACATGCAGAACATGTCCCGGTACATAGACGAGATAAAGATGCTGTGCAGGAGCCACGTGAATGACATAATTCGAATTAAAAAAAAAATAACCCCAAAGAGCGTCGACAAAATACACCTGGACATATGCATCCATGACGACATTCAACTGGTGAAGAATTATTTAAGTTCTAGCGCAAGTGACCTGACCGACCTGTACAAGTATGGCATTACCTTTACCTTTTCCTCGAAGAACCCCGTTTGTGTAACTCTCTTTTGGGGCGTCCTCCTGAACGAAATCAATCAGGTCATACACGAAAAGATGGAGGCGCGAAGAAAAAGCAATAATGGAAGAAGCACTGTTATTTGTATTGACAATTTTAAATCATTCTTTAGGGAAGGGTTCAGCAGGTCATTACAATCTAAGCCTTCCTCCGATGCGATGACTTACCTGCTCGATAAACATAAGGGTGGTGGTGGTGGTGGTAATCTTTATTCAGGAGAGGATGATATTGTTGCAGGAGGAGAAAACTTTTATGGTCACCACCATCATGATCCTTTATCCCCACATGAGAAGAACCCCTCCTTCATTAACTTCACCTCGTGCTTGCATAAGACACCGAGCTCTTTTTTCACGTCGAGGGATAACATCACTTATACAATGCCCTGTGATGAAAGCTTCTGCGTTGGAGATGTCCTGAGCCAAATAGAAGATGAAAAAAATGGGTACCAGGATCATCTGAAGGACAAACTACAACAAAACAAGTATGATCAACATTACTCCCTCGACGAAAAAGTGTTAAGTGGTAACATGAGCGATGAAAAGATAAGGATCCCTTTAACCATTCTTATAAACGACGCACCACCCTATGGTAACTCGTCTGGCGGTGGTGGAAGCGGCGTTGGAAGCGCAAAGAATGCATCCCCTGGTAAAGGAGTAGGGAAGAATAGAGGTAACGGAGCCCATGCCAGTACGCTTGTAGTCCTTGTCGATTTTAAAAAAATGAAAGACAAATATATCCCCTCCGTAATAAAGGACATTTGTGTGTCTAGCGAAAATGGAACCAACACCGCTGTACATAAAAGTAAAAAAAAAAATGAAGCTTTTCAGTTTTACGATATACTAGACATTTATGGACATGAGGAACATGACAAGGAATGTCTCATCTGCATGACCTCGTATAAGGATACTCTGCTGATGCCGTGTAGGCACTCGTCCTTTTGCTACGACTGTATGAAATCACTGCGCCAGGAGAAATGCCCCATCTGCAGGTGCCTCTTCACTTCCTTTATAAAATTCCCCCTCAAAAATATGGACAAGGGCGCCGACATGCCCTAGCGGCGTACACATCACAAACGAGACGTAACGAGATGTAACGTAAGGGGGATATAAACGTGAAGGGGAGAAGAGCACAGGCACCAGGAACCACAGATGGAGATGGACAGAGATGGAGTGGGAAAAAAAAAAAGCCATTTTGGAAGTGTTTCCACGATACGGACATGTGCAGCGCGCTAGCCCTTATTGTCAAGTGTTTTTTTTTTTTTTTTTTTTTTTTTTTCGTATATGTGTGTGTGTTTTTACTGGCCGTGCTGAGGATTGTGGCACCCCGTCAGCATCACTTCATGTGTATAACACGACGGCCCCCTTTTTTTTTCCGCGTTGGGGTTTTTTTGTATGTGGCTGATCTAGCGGTGGCGCAGTTCGCGCTCCGTCCGCCCCTTTCGACGCATGTCAATGTTTTAATGTATTTCATTCATTTTCGTTTTAGTTCATTTATCTCATGTTGTTCAGTTTGCTCCATCCGGTCATTTTTTGTTTTCGTGCGGTCGCCCGCGACCTCGTGTACAAACCTACACACGCGCTCACACAGATATATATATATATAAACAGACGACACACAATTTCGCGCGCAAATTTTAATGTAGGAAAAAAAAAAAAAAAAAAAACTTTTTTCTCTCCAATTGAGCGTTCAAAGCGGTATGTGGGCAGTGTTATACATGCCTGTTTGGTAAAAAGAAAAAGGGGGTAAAAAAAAAAAGCATCGAGGGGGGGAATAAGTTAGTCTGCACGATGGGCCTCATCATTCTTTACTCATATGTTTCGCCTCTTCAATGCAAGACGGTTTAAGTTGTCCCCCCCCTCGAGTGGATTGTCTCACCCCACTCTCGTGTGACCTTCCAAAACAGGGTAACGCACACACGTAACGCGTTGCACAAGGTATTAAGTATGTAGTGAGTGCTTCTTTTTTTTTTTTTTTCCTAACATGTATATAATATATATATATATACATGTGCACACGCGTAGTTAACGTTTAAAAGAAAAATCCAAGGACCTTGCCTCCCGTGTGTTTTCTTCTGGCCTCCTCGTGATCCATAATGCCGTAGGGGGTCGTGAGGATTAAGTGACCGAACAGTCTACTGGGCAGGATGTTGGTGATGATTTTTTCAATCTCCTCCAGCTTGACGTCGTACCTGCGGGGTGGTAATGCGGCGCGGTAATGAAGTGCACCATGGGTATGAGGCGCGGCACATCCTCACATAGTGCTCTTGCGCAATGTCAAATGATATGTGAACGGGCCACCTCTCTATCGCTTCCTCTATCTCTTCCTCCCTCTGGGGGCACTCACCTGGGTGATATAACGGCGCACTTGTTTATTCGTCCCAGTAGGTTGACCACAATTTTTCCCGAGCGGTGGTCATCCACAATTTCAAAATTTCCAATGTAACCCTTCTTCTGCATGTACTGCAAGAATTTTATCACGACCTTGGAGGAAGGCCTTATCAGCACCTGCCTCCTTCCTCTCTTCTCTGCGTTGTTAATCGTCTTGAGGCAATCAGCCAGCACGCTCATTCGAACCATCTACAGGGGCAGGGCGGCGGGGGGGCGGCAACAAAGGGGAACAAAAAATGAAGAGTGACACTCTTGCACATGTACATATATTTAACGTTACGGCCTTATTATATATATAAGGGGGGGAGAAGGAGATCACATATGGGTCATGTCGCTGTGAAAGCTGCTTGGCGAAATGAAGCGGCTTCTTATAACTGTAACGGAAGGGCGGGGGAGAGAGGCACTTGCTTTTTTTCTCTTTGAAGCATCCCCTACTTGGGCGTCGTTTAAAAAAAAAAAAGCCTCCCCCCCACCTGTTCCGCGTCGCTTCCACTCTGTCAACCTTACCTTGACTCAGAAAGGTATTATATATAAATGATTGTAAAAAAGAGAGATTTTCCTTAAAGCTAGGCAGCTCTATAAATATATTTTCTTGGTCCCCTTGGGGTGAATTTATAAAAGGTATATAGTTAGGCTAGCGCCAAAATAAAAAAAAAAAAAATGGTAAGCTTATTGTGAAGAGAAAAACTTTTAAAACAGAGGGGCATGAAATTGTTAAGCAAAAAAA